AGTGACCAACAGAATCAGACGTCTGATTGGTCCTTCTGGAACAAAATCTGGTACTACTCGCTTATGGCTAAAGGTGCCTAAAGGTGTTCTTTGGAGTGATGCAATAGAACATAGGTCTTTGAATTCAGCTTCCAGTCCCAGATTCTTTTAATCATTGGTATGGTATGGCACAGTCAATAGCAGGCCAATCATCAGTTCAATTAATTACCAGTGACTACCAAATCCAGGGCTGGAAGCTGGATTACTATATCAGCAAGCTTATCCACAATGGGACAGTGTGACCGCTGGCTTTCAATCCAATCAAGCACCAACACACCTGATTCCTCTCAAATTAAATCAGCTGGCCTCACTCTTCATACAGTCGATTAGATATATGAGCTGTGTTCCAGCTTGGTTGAAAAGAAAACCTACGGTTACATTGGCTCTTTGTGGGTAAGACTGGTGACCCCTGTTTTACGGCATATTTTCAAAAAACACTTTTGGCACCTATTATTTAAATAGTGTAACGCCCTCTAGGGGTGAAGGGTAGCCTGTACGTGTCAATATGTAATAATACATTCAACCAAAAGCCCTAGAAGAGGAAGTCAAATGCCCTTAAAAGCATGTCCAGCAAAAAAGGGAGGGTTCAGGGGTGTGTTCAGGCAGTTAGGCAGCAAGTGCGTAACACTGAACAAACTCAAGAGAGCCGGTTTTGGGGAGGCGACGAGGGCGGCGGCAAGCTGTGTGTGTACGGCGAACAAACTCCAGGAAGGGGAGGGATAAAAAAGGAGGGAAGGAGTCAAGGAAGGGGGGAAGGGCAAGCGAGATCGGCGATATTCTAGGTGGGGCTCTTGAGCGAAGTCCACATCTGCCAAGCCTAGAGACACTGGACAGACTGACACCCAAGCACTCTTCACCACAGCAACAGCTCCATCCAAACACTTCTTCCATTAAGCACAGTGGTTCCCAATCCTTGTCCTGGAGAACCCCTGCCCTGCACATCTTAGTAGAGCAGTCGCTAAATCTAGTTCTAGAGAGGTACTTTTCTGCGGGGTCCAGTTCCAACCATAATACACGACACCCGCTCAAGCTAATGAATGTTTTCAAATGTCCCCGACTGACTGGTTGAGTTACATTAGTGTTGGGTGAGAAATGGGTCAGCTGTGTGTTGGAACCAAGAGTTTCAAAGCTGGAGGAAAAAAGTGAAAATGTCTACCTAAAGCCCCAGGTAGACAGGGTGTTCAAGGGGCTTTGATGTGCAGACTGCATCTGCACAAGAGCAGGTTTGGTGACCACTATTTTAGTGTTTTCCCTGCTTTTTGACAGTGTTCCCCAACCCAGTCCTTGTGGACCTCCAAAAGGTCGATATCATTGCCTTGTCCAAGCTCTCAACACATTTGACCCAAGAACTAAATATCCAGTTTGGGACCCATATCCATAAGGTTCGTCTGTGCCTGTCGATACAAAAGATCTGATCCTCAATCAGCACTCATACTCTGATAGGCTTTATAAATATGGCCCTGGGGCAAAGCAACAAATCTGGAGGTCTCCAAAGACCAGGTTGGGAAACACTTCTCTTACACAGTGGCTCTCAACTACAGTCCTAGGAACTCACTCTTCTGCACAGAACTATTCCCTGCAATGATGTGATACAGCTCATAAAGGGTCTGACAATTAGCTGATTAACTGGTTCAGAGAATACTTGAAACCTTGCACAACAGTGGGCCCCCAGGACTGGGGGTTAAGAATCCTTCCTAACAACAACACACTCATTTCAACATAAGAGAGGCTCGTTAATGAGCTTATTAGTTGGATCAGATGATTTTGAGCATTGAAAACACCAAAATGTGCAGGGAAGGGAGGGATTCCAAGACAAGGGTTGGGAATTACTGCTTTTTAACACTTCTCACACTCTGGTACCATTGGTTAACTTGCTTATTCCTTCATCCTGGCCCCTCCACACTCACCCTTCACTCACAGCAGCACAAACATCAGCCCAACAGCAGCAGCAGCAGCAGCATCAAACCATCAGCCCCTGCTGTCACTCAAGCTGACGGCACAGCAAAACTGGTCAGTTGTTGTGTTTTTTCGGCAGCAACTTATTGTGGCCACAGAGGAGCCCAGTTGGCTGTGGCAATGTTGACGGTGGAGTGGAGACTAGAGGGGAGGTGGGGTGGTGGGAGAGAAGGGCAGGTGTTCGGTAAAGGCGCAGGCGCTATTGGGTGGACGACAGGAAGAAGGGGGGGCGGGGGGCGAGGCACTGTGCTTTTACCTGGATGGAGAGAGACAGAACTTCCTGTGCATTGCGGGACGCTAAATGTCCTCCCCCCACCAACACCGCATGGTGTCCACCATTCTGTTCCTTTGGGGGACCTAGTTCAGTCGGGACAAGGGAGTCAGAAAGCTTTGCTTTTGGGTTTTGAAATAGGAAAAAAATGTAACATGCACAATAAAAGAGATGTCACAGAAACCAAAGAGAGCTGAATTATCCATGCTCCTCACGCAACTGTTGCCAGGTCAGACAAGCTTTACAGAATATTTGCAAGTTTCCTATCCAACCTAATGAGAAACTCTAGCACAGCTCTTTTTGTAACACCTAAACCTAAAGCGTGTTTTTATTTTCAAATGATGTTTATCATTGTTTGTATCACTATTTCTATGAGTGAGAGGTTATACTGTCTGTGACTTTATGCAGGTTGGTAAATTTGACAGTCATTTCCATCATGCCATATTTCACTTTAGGCTGAACAGCATTTTTTACCACATTCTACAAAACATTCTTGTCCAGCCTTGCAACAAGCATGATGAAATCAAATTAGTGGGTGGAGCATGGACAATTCAAAACTATTGTTAAGCCCCACCAGGGCTGCCAAAAAGACCCTGTGAGGCACAGCATTTAAGAGTGCTGGTGTTTTCCTGGTACGCACAAAGCTTCACCACATCCCAAAACCAGTGCTGTTCACATCTTCACAAAAAAACGAAGTAAATATCTGCCAGTATAGCCAACTCAACACTCATACTGTAGAGGTTTTAATGGGCGGCGCTGGGTAGTTATTTAGTGAAGGGTTTGCAGCATTGGGTAGCGCAGCTCCTTTGGAGCCAGTTGAGTGAATTTTTGGTAAAGCTAAGGGGACAGAGGGAGGGTCACCCCCAACTTACCCCATCCACAGAAACACAGAGGGACATGGGGGCAGTCTCTAGTCCTTTCACTTCCTCTCAGGGCTCCAATTCATTTGAGTCTGGGCGTTTCACAGAAGAAAAACAATCATGAAACATCATCAAAATAAAAAGTGTAAAAATAAATAAATAAAAATAAAATAAATGTTCTCCCTTTACTTTCATAATGATTGAAGACATTCTTTATTTTATGGTTGAATACATTTTTTTCTAAAGGTCATGCATAGACTCTTTTCCTACGAAAACATCTGAAGCAAAAACAGTGCTACCGCGACACAAACTACACAAATGAAGACATTTCTTACAGTCAGTTCCATTAAACATGGCCTCTTCACTGTGTAGGTATGTGTAAGGTACTGAACCACTGATGAGGAGTAGATGATGACACACAGTCAAAGGCAGATGCAAAGAAAGATGGAGTGAGAGAGAGAAAGAGAAAGAGAGAGATAGATGGAGGGGGATAGTCCAGAGAGCCTGAGCAGCGAATGAAAAAGAAGACTGAAAGAAACTGATAGCGATCTCCCAATTCTTTTAATCCCATGCCACAGCACCACATAGCATACAGCACTTTTCCTGCGCACCGTCTTCTATCCAGTTTCACATTTAAGACTACAATCGAGAAATAGCAAACCATGATACATTTCATTTACTAAGGCATAAGAATCATAAGCCACTGGCAAACACGATTTTGGCTGATCTTAAGAAAAGAAAATTTGGCTATAAACATAATCTGTAAAAAGCTACAAGATGGAAAGCTACGTTTTCCTCATTCATGGCTGTAAACAAAATTTATGGAGAGTATTTAACAGTATTCTGTTAAAAAATGATATTTGAGTCCCTTTTACTATAGTTATAAAAACATGATAGGCATCATCAATAAGACACTTGCAAAAATCATCCACTATGCAAAATGGCAGTTCTGTTAGTCAGTGAAGACCAAGCCCCGTTACACAAAGAGGCAGGCCAGAGGACCAATCCCAGCTAATGGCAACTAGCTACAACATTTTTAATTTAAAAAAAAAAAAAAAGTGTTTAAATTGTTTAGTTCCCATTTATCACTGTGGTGATATCTGTAGCTACATTAAAGTAGATAAAAGTAGGAGGGGAGAGAATTCACAGTGTCTTTCAGCTTTCAGGATGGGTGACGTGGGATGGGAGGGTGATAAAGATCCTCACTGACCATTTATTTTTTCTCTTCAATTGGGATGTAACGGGGGGAGGTGTGTGTATGCACCGTGGTAGAAAAATCAAGGCATTTTCCCTAAATACATTTGTGTGTGTGTTTCTGTGTGAATGTCTGTCATTGCAACCAATGGGCCTAACATGAAAAACACATATGCTGCCAAAGTCCCAAAGACAAAAGACAAACACAAACAAACACACACACATAAACATGTAAAAACAGCATCCAACCCTGGTCCTACACTTCACACACCTCCAGAGTAAACATTACATTCAATTTATCAAAGTGTTATCAACCTCTAATCGATAATATGCATGTATACACACACACACACACATATATATATACGTAAACTGGTTAATAGTTCACATAACTATTCCAAGCAAATCTTAAAAATCTCAAGTACAGTATTCATTCATAGGCTACTAACGTATATAAAAAAAGCATTAAAAAAAATAGAACACATGGCTAATGTCTAGCCTACACCTTAAAACTGTCTACAGGTTTAAGGTTTTAGAGACTTTAAACAGAGCGACTACGTGTGTATATTTTATCGTGTATGAATGAAAGCGTGCAGTTTTCTCCCTTTCGCTACCCTGGATCGCTACACTGGGTGTGTGTGTGAACAGAACCAAGGTCAGATATTCCAGTCTTTATAAAATAAAATAAAATGATCAAAGGCGCCCACCCTCTTAGAACCTGCACATAAATGCACATTTACATACATACACCTCTATCTCCCCCATAAACACAAACCACTCACACAGAGACAGACAGACACACACACACCCACACCTACATACACACACACACACACACACACACACACACACACACACACACACACACACACAGTGTCACAGACATGGCGCGAGGTGGGGGCACAGCGGGGGAAGTAAGAGCAGACTATCGGAAGGGCGTTTCAGGGGGGTGCAGGGCGAGTTCGGAGCGGCGGAGGAGGGGCTCCTTGCGCGACGGCGGAATCGGCGGAGGCTCATACACGCGGGGCGTCGCCACGGCGATGGCGGCAGCGGCAGGCACGGGGGCGGCGGGCAGCACTGGCCTGAGGGCGTCCAGCGCGGCCACCGAAGAGGCGGGAACACCGGGGAGGGCAGAAATGGCAGGTACCGCGGCGATGGGGTTAGGGGCCGGGTAAGGGACTGCTGGGTACTGAGGGTACTGAGCAAGCTGCTGGTACTGCTGGTAGTACTCTGCATAGTATCTGAAAGAGGAAGTAATAAGGACACATAGAGACAAACACGGACACAAACCCCCCACAATAAATAAATCAGTACCGAAAAAAACAGTTAGCGTCACTTTGCTTGGTTACATGCAAGACATACACTGTTACATACACAGTCCATCAAAGGTTTTTGGGGACACCCAGCTTTTATAAAAAGATTTTTTGTCAGTTTACAATAGGGCTTTAGTCAAAAACACCTTTGATGTGTCTACTAGTCAAGACAGAGTCTAAAGGAGGCTGAGACCAAGCCAAAAGTCCAAAAGACTATGAGACTGAGTCAAGACCCAAAGAAAAAAAAAATCCACTTCAAGACCAAGCCTTAACTAGTCTTTACCTTCTTCCAGTCCAGATTTCTTGGACTTTTCAAATTTGTTGAGTCATTTAACAATGAATTATACCTCTGCAGTTTCACTTTAGCCAATGGCAATTCAAAATCAAAAAATAAACACAAAAGATTTGTTTTGAGCTGCTTGAGTACGAGTCAGTGTGCGTTGGTAACTGGTAAGGGAAAGAAAATACAAATAAAGTAAAAAGTAAAAATAAATATTTACATAAAGCAGTTGGTTGACTAAAATACATTTAAATAAATGTCTTGATAATGGACTCTAGTACTACAGCACCAGTTCACAATAAGAGTATCAATAGAAGTTATAAATAACTTTTATTATGAAAAAGAAGAAACTACAAAAAAAAAATAATAATTAAAAAAAAAAAACTATATGCCTCAAAATCTCTCCTTTATCAGTAATTTAAGTATCTTAAGTTACTGAAAATCATCTTTTAAAAAATTGCTTATCTGTATTAAAGATACTCGGAAAAGATAGATGTCCCCAAACTTTTTACAAGAACAACGATGTGATCAGAAATATACAATCTAATTGACCCACCTGGCGACAGAATCCTCCTCCTGGCTCGCAGCTTCTTCCCGGCCTGCAGGAGTAGGCAGTAGCGCCCTGCGCTTAGCCCTTTGGTACATGAAGGGCTTCATAACTGGGTCAGGCAGTAGGGGTGCAGATCTTCTGAGAGGGCTCCTGTCCCTCTCTCCAGACTTTGCGCTAGCCTGCTGCTGCTCTGCTAGCACTTGTTGCCCCTGCGCGAAGTAATGTGCCCTTGCTGCTTCAAAAATGGCTGCTGGGTCAGCTGCTCCCAGGGCACTGTAGGCCGGGCTGGCCGTGTAGATGGCCGGAGCTACTGTGTAGGCTGGGTTAACAGCGGCGGCTGCAGCTGCAGGAACCTCCATGCTTGGCGCCGCAGCTAAGAACACAGGGTTAGCGACTGCAGGCGTGTAAACCTGCGGCCCATAGGCGGCACTTGCGGCTGCAGCAGCTGCTACTGCTCCATTTGCCACTTGGCCATAGAGGGCAGGGTTAACAGAGCCGTAAACTTGTGCAGCCGCACTGGCACCGGTGTTGAGTGCTTGATTAGCCACCGTGCCCCCGTAAAGCTGGTTAGCGACCGTTCCGTAAACTTGGCTAGCTAGCGCTCCGTAGACCGCAGGGGCCACTGCAGTTCCACCTTCTGCCCTCGCTCCAGCAGCAGTCAGTCCAGTCAGAGCAGCGTAGGTGGGGTCAAAGGTGGAGGTATTGTAGACTGAGTTGTGAACACTCTGTTGTACCTGTAATGGAAGTCCAGCGGCGGCGGCAGCAGCAGCGGCTAAAACAGCTGCTTGACTCTGATACTGCTCCAGGGCAGGTTTCCCACTCGGGCACTCTCCAGCATAATGACCCTGCTTTCCACAGCTCACGCAAGGGATCTTTCCAGTGGGGGTTTGCTTGCTGGGCTGAACCTTAGAAAGCTCCACAGAGAGTGGACGTCCCTTGAAGGAAGTGCCATGCAAAGCTTCGATGGCCTGCAGTGCGTCTTCCTTGTTCTCCATGTGCACAAAGGCATAGCCTGTAAAAGATTAGTGCCAAGTTGTCATTAAGCAAACATCAGTCACCAAGGTTGTCAAGGTGTGAAATACAGGGGGTCCTATGGGGTCTGGGAGCCCCTAACTGACCTCTTGAATGTCTCAAAATCAAAAGTCTAAGGGGTTCCTGTAAATAGATTTATGACATTATGCGATCCATTAGGGAAAAACAGACACTCAAATACAAATTCAGGGAAAGAACATTGTTCAGCTGCTTCACCCACGAATCTGTGAGCTTCTGTCTTTGGTGTTCTTAACTAACTAGAGATGTAGCACTGGTCTGCCTCAGGGTGGCGCTGTAGCAAATTGGTTCAGCCAGTTAGTACCTCATAGCTTAGCAATTGTAACTATTCCCAAGAAACTTCTGAAAAAGTTTACAATATGTTGTAGCAAGTTTGTAACCTGACAACCTGCCCAATTTCCCCAGACATGTGTGGAATATCACATTACCAAACTAGAAAAGACCATTTCCAAAAGAAGAATCGTTGAACCTTCTGTTGCCATTGTTGCTAGCATCAGTGTGACTATGGTGATTGAGTTAGCAGCCAGCCAACGCTGGAGTAGACAGCAAACATGGGACCTCCTTAATACCAGGAGGTATTTCGTACACTGGATATAGCAAATTGGCTTCTACAGAATTCCTCATCTTTTGTAGCTCTATGACATGCCAGCAGCAGCAGAAGTGACATATTCTTCAATGCCTTCTTTAACTAGTTTAAACCTGACTTAGCAGCTGGCAGCTAGCCTAAACACACAATTTAAATAAACCAAATTACTGCAAAAAAGAGATGTAAAATGGACATGTCCACCAATCCTCATGACATGACAGTGGATGGCAAGACTCTAAAATCTGACAATATCTGTTTGATAATGAAAGCTCAGATAAAATTTATTAATCATTTAATGAAACCAGCAAGAATAAACAAGGAAATAATGAGTAACACTGCGTTTTCTGAACAGATGCAGTCCATCTGTGACATTATTCTCATTCTGACCACATTTCCTAGAGAAATTCCACAACCTGTGTGGATCCTACTCAGGCACAAAATTCCCTGAGGGCAGAAAATGCAGAAAGTGCCTGATTTCTGCACTGGTTGTAGGGTATCCCTCTTGTTTTGACCAAATGGACAGGCTACCAACTACTATCAACAGTCTATTAAAATGCAAGCAATTTATAAATATGCAAGCATACAGAGGAGGGGTGCAAAACTGTCCAAATGTCTTCAAAATTTGATTCTATAATAGGTCTATTAGGGAAATGTGTTTTCATGTGTGAATTGCGGGTGAAGGGACAACATCTTTAAGATAAAGCACTAGATTTGGTCGTATGCAAATGACTGAATATCTGTGGTTAAATTACATGGTTTGTAGATTTTCTAAGTAAAAATAAGTTAACATATCTTCTACAGGGAACAAACTTAAATATGCCATCTTGCAACAAAATTTAGTGCATAACTTACATTTTTTTCCCCAAAACTGAAATTTAGCAGTTGTGCAATGAAATGTGTGTTTGTGTTCTCTGTAAAATACGTTGTGCAATTGCTTTCACTTAGAAACTCAACATAAAATCTCATTTGCCCATGACAGCCTAAATTTGCTTATGGCTAAATGCTTCACTTTGACTTCCAAGCCCACTGGCATGTTTGATAATACTGCATGGCCTTTAGTCCAAAAACACACAGTGCAGTGTCATAAATCGAAGGATTTGCTCGTGAGGTCTGCCATTTAAGGTCAGAGACTCTTAAGACGAGAGAGAGAGAGCGAGAGAGAGAGAGAGCGAGAGAGAGAGAGATTTTTTTAAATTAAAGGGTGCCCAATCCTGGTCCTGAAGAGTTCACAACCAACACACCTGGCTCTAATACTTAAACGCCCCTAAAGGCCTTTATTAGTTACTTTCGGGTTGGAGATAAACTCTGCAGGGTAGTAAATCTCCAGGATCCATAATTGGGCAGCCCTGCTTTTGGGCATTTTATTTTAACGTGTTGGCAACGTCTCGACAAAAATATTGCCTATGCCTTCTTTCAAAAACTTTTCTTACCTTTAACCTTGTCACATTCCAAGACTTTCCCAAAGGTCTGAAAGAGTTCCTTGAGGTCTTCTGTGGTGCACATGCCACTCAAATTACCCACAAACACTTTAGTGGAGTGAAGTGGGCGTCCCCGGGACTCCTCCACTACCAGGTTTCGACCTTTAAATTCGCGGCCATTGAGCTCGCGTATTGCCCGCTCAGCAGCACCCTCTCCCTGCAAGTGAACGAAGGCGAACTGCCTGAGGACGCTGCAACTCACCACCTGGCCATAGGCCTCAAAGATTGCAGAAAGTTCTTCTTGCGTGGTGTCCAGGGCCAGGTTCCCCACAAAGAGCTTCACTGTATGGCCCTTCTCCATCACGCTGGAAAGAGAGGCAGAGGGTCTTGATTAAAGCGAGAACAGTTAACCCCTTAATTTGTAGGTTTAGTATTCAGTTATCAGTCTACAAACTTGTTATTTCAGGAACTACTGTGAACTGTCCAGTAGCTAAGGACTCTCTCACACCTTGTTTGGTACAGACTAACCAAACTTTTTCTTTGGTTTGTTTTAACAGGTGTGAGTACTCCACCTGTACTCAGACCTGCACCACTGGTCTCAGTACACTTTCATGTGAACCCTGGTCCATTCTGCTGCTGGTGGAAATGCAATTTTTACAATAATCCTCAGCAAAAGGGGGAATTCAACACCAGATCATGCTCTTCTCTTCTTCTAAAATCAGGTCAGCACTGTACTGTCCACATAATCTGTCTAATCTAAATCTTTACAGCTCATATCTGTGTTTTTGATGCAGCTAAAGATTAAGCATCTGTATTTTTATGCAACATACAGGTTGGATTATAATGCCTTTTATCAAAAGTTTTTTAGTGGGAAAGATGTGTATTTATACTAAGAAGGGACAGTAAAAGTTGACACAAAAATAGGTTGTTTTCTGGCACTAATGGAGGCAAATGTCTATATAACAGAGTATCCCCACCAAGTTCCTGACCAATCAAAGGTCACCCACATATATTATCACAACAAAAACCCAAACTTTGATGCAGACTTCAGCAAACCAACCAGGTGAGACCACAGTTGTATAGTTATAAGAGTGAGACAATGAAAAGTAGACCCACATCCAGGCCTTTGGGAGGGTTTCCCCAGACACTGGTTAAAACTAGTCTTAGACTAAGTTGCAGCGCCAATGGTGAATCATCACTGAAAATTCGTATTAGTCTAGGCTTAGCTTTAATCTGTGTGTGGGAAACCAGTCCTCAGGGTTTACAGGGGTTAAGGCAAAGAAAGGGAGAATGAAGGAGAGCAGGAGAAAGGGCAGCAGACTGAGACAGTTGTCATATCTTATCAGCTAAAGCAGAGGAAGCCACAAAGTCCATTCTGTTGTGCTGAAACAGGGCTTTCCCAGTACTAACAGGCTGATTTCACTATCTGAAATGCCTGTGGGTGTGTTAATGCAGCACTAATAAAAATGCCCTGCCTGTTCTGTTGCTTTCTGAATTGTACTTTAATTTAAGAAAGCCACAGGTGATACTCATATCAGTGTTTTTATTTTTCAAATCCGTGCTCTGAATATCAAACAAAACTGATGGTAAATCAATATCCGATACTCTTCGTGGTATATTAGTTTTAGCCTAAATAAGATTTCTGGGTCGACCTAATGACCTGTTTATGAACAATTAAAGACTTTTTAACCACAACATAACAGCACTATGGGACAAACGGCTTCTTTTGGACATTTTCCGAGCACAAATCCCCCCACAAAGAAACTGAAGCTGGTCTACTGACGCAGTGGCGCACAGTGTAAACACACTTCGCCACTTCCTCAATGCCTCACGAAAATGGTTCAAAACTCGTCAGAGCTGACCAGCGGTCGCCTTCCTCGACACCAGAGAGTGGAAAAGCTGTGGTTTATACTTGCCATAACACATTAATGTCTGAAAAATGCTTACCAGTCGTTCCCTTTATAGCCAGCTGGCGTCAACAACACACGCCTGGAACGACTAGCATAGCACGAATGGTCAAAGCAACAAGAGGGTTATCTGTGAACGCCGAAAACAATTCTGACACCACACGGGCTGAAAACACACTCCCTCATTACACAGAAGGTGATAATAACTCGACAGGGCATCACTACGAAGATATTAACTGTGTTTTCGTGTCTCGTGTTCGCCGTTTGTCACCAATCCCCTGTAAGGGGAGGATTTTTCGGGTGCCCTCTCCCCCAAACCTCTGCCTTCGCCTCTCTATCTCTCTATTGCCCGTCGCGCTATGAATTCGGCAGCGAACTGTCGCCATGGATACAACAAAACCCGTTCACATCTCATTTGAAACGGCCAGACAGTCGATTAAAAAGCAGATTCGGTAAATCTTTGAATTATAAACACACAGAGAAGCAAAAATCAGAAATCTTCCATCTTACCTAAGCGGTGCAGGGTTTCAAAATGGTCGGTCCACTTCCGTTCTTCAGTAAAGACGGGCATTCTTTCCCAATGAGAGCGAGAGAGAGAGAGAGAGAGAGAGAGAGAGAGAGAGAGAGAGAGAGAGAGAGAGAGAGAGAGAGATGACTAGTCTTGTAATCGCTTTGTCAGTACTTCATGTTAATCAGCCGCCGTGCTAGTAAAACCCTCTCAACTAAATAAACAGTGAAGTGCGACAATGATAGAGGAAAAAAGACAAAGAAAGAAAGAGTGTAAGGGAATATGACTGTCATCTTGTGATTACTCAGCCATATTGGCAGTCGTGCCAACTGAACCGAGAGAGAAAGAAAGAAGAAAGAGTAAGAGAACATGACTGTCACCTTCTAACTGCTCTGGCAATTATACAGTAATGCTGAACTGAACTGAGAGAGTAACAGAAAAAAAACAAAAAAGAAAGAAAGAAAGAATACTCATCTTGTAAATGATTGGGTCGTACTGCATGTTAAGCAGTCATGCCAATAAAGCCCAGTAAACTAAGAGGGAAAAAAGGAAAGAGAAAAAGAAAGAAGAAACATAAAAGAAGAAGAGATATAAAGTGAGAGACAATAAGACTGTCAATTGTAACTGCTTTGGCAATATGGAAAGCAGTAAGGCCAAAAAAGCACACTGAACTGAGACAGAAAGAAGGAAGGAAGGATGAAAGAGAATGAGTCTTATAACTGTCTTGGCAATAATGCAGTCACGCTGAACTGAGTGACAGAAAAGAACAGAAAGAAAGAAAATGACATCTTGTAAAATTTTTCTTTTGAATAAAGAAAAAATGAAAGAAAAATAGATACAAAATGAAAGAGAATAAGTCTGTCATCTTGGTAATGCTTTGGCAATACAGGATGTAAAGCAGTCATACCAAAAAGCACACTGAACTGAGAGAGGAAGGAAGGAAGGAAGGAAGGAAGGAAGAAGGAAGAAGAAGAAGAAGAGAGAGAGAAAATATATCTGATCTTGTAATTGCTTTGGCAATATGTAATGCATGGCATGACAGTAAAGTCCACTAAAATGAAAACTAAACTGAAGAAGAAGAAGAAGGAGAGATAGAGATAGATGGAGATATAGAGAGAGAGGCAAACACACATTCCAAACCATTTTATTCATTAACACAGAAGAATGACAGCTGGACCAGCAAATAAACTAATGCTATTTTTCCTCATATGAGTTCTAAACTTCACCAAAAGGAGTTAAACAAAATACACAACACTGCTTATAACATGTCTATGTTCCTTTAATTATCAAATGATAATGAGATGACAAGAATCTTCATAACAATCACACAGAATATTAAAGCAAGTAAAAAATTAAGACACACTTAAGGGTACAATCATTCTGAAGATGATTCAATCAAACTACAAGGAGGCATTTTAACTTAGACTAAACGTCTTATTTAAAGCTGAAATTCATTTTGATTTAACAAGTAAGTTGAAGAAACTACTGTTTGTTCCCAGCTTAACTCAGTCACATTCCTACTCTATCATTTCAAGGCTAGCTGGCACATTAAACGCTTCCTTGACAAAAACTCTTTATCTGTGCGTGTGATTTCAGCGACTACAAAGTTGCAAAGATACACAAAGAGCAGCGTCAGCTTTCAGCTGCAGAAAACAAAAGTGAACATACAAGCCCATCTGTGGATGGTTAAAACTTTACCTGCTTGGGACAGGAAAACTATTACTGAAACAGACATGATGATTACAAAAAACTACACAGCAGACCTTGACAAAATATTACTAGACCAACAATGTTCTATCTATATCTTTACTTGAGTAGAAGTACAAAAGTACTTGCTTGTGAATGTACTTAATTGCATAAGTAAAATTTACTGTGTAATATTTTTGTGATTTTCAACTCTGTTGTCATATCTGCAGTTACACGCTTCCCTATAGAACTCATCAATCAAAACATATAACAATATCTACACTAACTCACAGTACTCCTGATACAGTGTATTCAATCTAACTTAAGGACAGATATATTACCCTGATATACTGATCATGATCAATTGTCATGATAATGTTTCATGAACGTCCTGTACTTATCAACTGACCAACTGCCTACTTCATTAAAAAGAGATTTAAGTGGCTGAGCTGTGCAGGGTTTCGCCATATGTTTGAAACCCAATGATGCTGGAAGTCCATGAGAGCATAACTAGCTCTGTTTAACTGGATGCATAGAAAGATACAAAGAACAAAAAAAAAGTTAATTATAGATTTGACAGCATTGTTTTAAATGTGGCACTGCTGGCATCTGTCTCACAATGGTGGATCACTTTTATTGGGATACATCAACATAGCAACCTATGCTGCACACCTAACCTGCTCCAGGGCTGGTTCAGTTTGGGATTTTGGATCATAAACAGCTCTTCAACCAATCACCGACTGGCAGAGGTGGATTCCACTGGTACTTTTTTTTATTTGTGACATTTGTGCCATCAAGCACATTTTTTTTTGCAAAAGAAACAAATCATACTACATAGATATGAAGGACTAAAAGAAATTATTACTGCAATACGCAAACACAGTGGCAGTGCTTTTATACTGCTATAAGTGCTTTACTTTTTTTACATATATGCAAATTTCTTCTTGCTTCTTTGAGAAACAAGGTGCTCAATTCCTCCTCATGTTTCTTGTGATTGGTTGTTCATCATAAACGTGATGCTTTCATGTGCACACGCACAAAGATTAATCATAGCTGGAGTATCTAAACCTGAGCTGACAGGGGAGGTTGCTGCCTTCATAAAATGAGTTTAATTTCCATTTTTTAGGTTTTGTGAAGCTGAAACTTAGTCGGGAATCCTGTCTAAGGTTAAACTTGCTTCGTGAGAAAGAACCCTGGAGTACTGTGTCTGTTCCAACTTACAAACCAACAACAAATGAGAGCCAACATTGTAATGGGAATAAAAGAAAAGCATTTCTTTGTATAACAATGATTTCCAAATAGCACTGTGAACTTAACTTCCAGAAGCCACACCAGTAAAACCCCAAGCTTTATATTTGCATGGTCAGAATAAACTCAACTTACATGTACACTCAGAAACTAAGAAACAGCTCAGGTTTTTACATGAATTTGAATGTCACATGTGGCATCTCAGCCAAAGTTTAAGTGAATGAAAACCCTCACTGGTTCCACAGCAGGACAATGTAGAGCATTAGGGTCAAACTGGGTTCCTTCTGGGCCACAGTTCTGCAGAGTTTAGTACTCTGCCTCATTAAACAAAGCCTTCATGACCTTAACTCAAAGGCCCCATATCTAGGGTGAGGCCAAACAGTTCTGAAAACCATTCCAGTGGCACAGTTCAATGACGTAGCTATTCACTGATTTGTTCTATGTTTATGTCGGTATTGTGCCACCACACTCTTTGTTATTCAGGTCTCTTCAGTTTCTCTGTAATCTATTGTTTTTTCTTATTCAATCCATCTAATCTTTTTCAATCCATCATTTATAAATATCATCAATTAACCAACAATTGCTAAACGTTCAACAGTGCTGCTACTACGATAGAGGAGCTGGTTAGCATCGGCGGAGCATGCTAACAGCACTGCTCACTACAGAACAGGTTCAATTCTGGCTACCTGAAGAATCACTGACACAAGTTTAAATGACAGTGAGTCAAATCTGAGGGAGTGATGTTGAACGGCTGGAGCTGCAACGACAGAAAGCTGAAATTAAAAGTGTTCTGTGTGGATCTGTATGTTACGTGGCTCCTCTCCAAGTTAGCAGCACTCCTAATTAGCATTCAAAGGTTTTTCTTGGCTGCATCTTTAGCTTTGAGACACAGCTAGTATCTCTGCAAACCCAGTTCGACACCCCAGATATACAGGGTCCAAGGCAAGGAGATAGTTTGAAGGGTTTCAACAATTCAGCAAGAATTTTTGGTCTCTTCAGTCTGTCTGTACTCTTTTGTTTTCTCTCCTTCTCTAAGTGCACTCTGTGCTCATCATTATTCACAGCTGCTCGTACGGTCATAAATTGGCCGTTGGTGTGTCTGTGACTCTGCGTCCTTTTCCCGCTATAGGCCGATCTCTCTCCTCCCACAGAGTGACCCCGTCACATGCACAGATCTGTTTAGGGTTCTGAAACAGTCCTGCAGAACGAGCGATGATTCCACACGCCAGCCTAAAGACAGAGAGAGAGAGAGATAGGGAGGGAGAGAGAGAGGGAGAGAAAGGGAGAGAGAGAGAGAGAGAGAGAGAGGGAGAGAAAGGGAGAGAGAGAGAGAGAGAGAGAGCACTTATAAATAATGTATAAGTAACCTCTTTTCTTTTTTTTTTTTGTACTCAACCTTTTGTCTTCAAATTGGTCTCCTCATGCACCTGTAACTACTGCTGCAAGGTCGGAAAATTATTAAGGAATGGTGGCAAAAATCCTAGTCAACATAATGAGACACAGTAGCGATCTCTGGAGTCAATACAAAATGGATCCAGTTTAAAATGTTACGCTACTGAGCCAGACTATGTTGGTGTTGCTAATCTAAACAGGTTTGAAAGGGCAACAAGAATTTGCCATTATTGTAATATTAGCTTGATTACATGGCAAAGAACAACATCCGATCTGCCAATGTATATATGCAAAAGTTTGGGCACCCCTGGTCAAATAACATTTTATCATTAGTACACATTGTCTGCAGAAAATACACTTCTGCACTTTTTAATGCACATTTACTGTTTAATTGCTGAATTTAATATATGGGTAAAAACAAGTTATGGCACAATTTATTATTTACGTTTTTTTTCCAACATGTTTAACTTAATAAATAAATAAATAAAAAAAATTACACTGCAATTTGCAGAAAAATACCACATATAAGTGTGTTCTCTGTAGAAGATGTGAACTTTTTTTCACCTAGAAAATAAAAAAAAACATGTCCTTTGGCCAGGGGTGCCCAAACTTTTGCATATGTCTGTAGAAGTGGTGGACAGCTTTCGCCCGCTTGGATAAGATATTAAAAACTATGGATCCTTTAGTGCTGGACAAGACTTTTGAGAGTGTGTTTGAGGGCACAAAAACAAACAAGTGGATTCTTGACCAAATCAAGTCTCACCTCCCACTTGAACCCCAGATAAACAGAGTGACGCTCTAATTTTGGACAGATTCTGAGAAGAACCAATTCACTGGAAAAGACAATTATGCTTGGAACATTTGAATGTAAAAGACAAATAAGACAACCAGCTACAAGATAGATGGAGACAATCAGAGCCAAGCATTTGTAAATGTTATTAAATATTTCAAATTTTGAGTTATTAAATACTATAAATTCTATACTGTAATGATCTATTTATAATACATGTTTGCTGCTGTAATGATCTATTTATAATAACTTTTGTCAAGTTATCTACCTCAAGATGTGATCACCAAATATGAGATATTCTGGTTAAATTATAACTTCATTCTCAATATTTTACAGATTTCTCAGTCATAATGGAATCATTAGCTCAGTTTATCATTTTGGGCATCATTTTGAAAACACTGACAGACACAGATACAGAATCTATAGCCACAAAATTTCATGCAGTTTAGGCAAATGAAAACTGTGGCCTGTGGTCAGCTGAGATTTCACTACACACAACAGTTCATCCACATCATTGCATGTGTCTACAGCGGCTCCACTGCCACGGTGGTGGTTTTACATAAAGAATGAACAGCCACCTTTTGTATCAGTTAAACAGTAGAAATCTAGTCATGGTGGTCGTTGTGTAGGCCTGTGTGCTGTAACTGTTTCAAACTGTTCCTCCCACCTCTGTCCTGAGTTTCCTGTTTGTCTGGACAGCGGGTGATTTCCTCGGCCAAGGTCATCTTCCCCAGAATCCACCACCAGTGAGCGACCAATCACATCCCACACCTGTCAGAGCCAGTGTGAGTGAAAGATGCATGAGACACTGAAGAAAATACTTTTGTATCATCAATGAGGAAAATAGGGCACAGAAGAAGAAAGACTTAAAACAATTTTAATCACAAGGACTTCTGTATTATCCTGCACTCCAACACACCGCACATCAGAGCTGATCTTATCTTCACACTGGGTTAAAGACGACAGCAGGAAATGATGTCATTACGGAATAAAAAGGGTCATGAATGGAGGAAGCAGAGGAAATATCTGTTGTATAATAGGCAATTAAAGAGATATGAGATTCTCAAATAGGGATGAAACGGTTACGTTTTAATGATAGACTACAAAAATTCAGATTATAATCACATTGTTCCAAATGCGAGAGGGTGGCGCTAAACTGCTGTAAGTCGAATAGGCAGATATATGTAAATGGGCTGGTTTTCATGACATAACAAGAACAAAAAAGTCAAGAGTCTGTTTTTTGCAGCTCATTTTCCATATATGGACTGGGGAGTGAATGGTATGATTTAAAACTTTAACAGCATCAAACTCTTTTAGTCAAAAAAGTGAGGAAAATTTGGTTTTCCATGATATGGGCCCTGTAATGTACTTTCAAATATGCATATAAATATGTTCATAAATGTTATGTACTTTGTTCTATTGCTGAACTGTTTAAATAGTTACAATCTGAACAGTAAATGTTAGTAGTGTCTGATCATTTCATATTTATTTAAACTGTAGTTGATGAAGAATTAGGTAACACTTTGTTTGGATAGTCCACTTTAGATGCTTTGTAGATACTTACATTACTTTTAATTTACATTGAATTAAATATCAACTAAATTGACCATAATCTTCTTTAACTCTAAACCTGGCTCTAATCCTAACCCTAACATTAACCTCAACTCAAAACCTAAACCCAACCCTCACCCTGGTCCTAGCCCTAACCCTAGTCCAAATCCTAACCCCAACCCCACCACTGTTTAGAATCAAATGTGTTTCACAGATAGTTTGTTAACAATTTGAACATCTGCAGATAATCTATAGGGGACTATCCAAATAAAATGACAGCAAGAATTATAAAAGGTTCAATAAAAAACCAACATAGTACCAGAGGTGCATTTGATTGAGCTTTTTAGATTATTTTCAGTTTATTTTCTAGTCAACCTGACACTAAAACTGACCTTTGTTAGCCTAGTCATGTCCAAAATTCATGACAAAATTCTTCTTTTCTCATCATCCTCCATCAAAACTTTTGCACTGCCTCTACGTCTTCTGATTTTTAATTTACACCACTGTGTACTAGCGGGTGGGGGAAAAATGATATTAACCAATAGTATCATGTTTCATTTCCACCTCCCACCACCCTGACCTACCCATCATCACGATAAACTCTAACCCTAGCTAGTTCAGAGACCCTCCATGTTAAGAGTTTTTCATGCCAAAATAGATCATGATTAATACCACAGTAATAACAAATACCATGATCCTTCTGGCCACTGATATCATGATGTGAAATCCCTGATCTCAGTGCAGTTGTTTATTTGTATACAGATGACAGCATAAGCTAAAACATGCCTGTCATCAAGAATAAATAATATTCATCTGTAATGAAGTACTGACTTTGAAACCTGTACAGTGCAGACTCAGCTTTATATATAAGTTACCTTTAGCTGGGAGTCTTCCAGTCGGAATGTGGCTCTGCCATCTGATCCTGCCTGGACATTACCCAGGTCACCCACATGCTGCTCAAGAGACACAACACAAGCTATTAGAGCATATATTTATCCATCAATTTATAAGTAATTTCAACATATTTCAAACTGTGTTAACCAATTTCCCACCAACTAGAAACCCTAATATATATGGGGGAATTCCACTTTTAACCCTCAGAAGTTAGAATTTTTGGAGACACTAACCACAACATGTTGTATATTATTTCTCACCTATAACTTCTAGCCTATAATATCTATTCCGATTTTAGATATTTACAACCTAATGCATTACAACCTAATGCATTAGTAGAGATAGTAGAGAAAACTGTACAAAATCATCACTTATAGGGTTTTTTTTTTGTTGGGAGGTGTCTGTCCCAAACTCTAACCCCTAACTTTCAACTTGTGAAAATAACAGTATTTTTAGATATTTTTCAATGTTATTTTTTTAATGTTTAGATTTGTCATTAGTTTAATTTATAAACAAAACATTTTGTTTAAAAATTGCTGTTGCACGATTTCATGCCACTACCAAAACAAGAAGAGTCCACAGGTGGAGCTATATTTCAGCCACACCACTGCATTTTAGAGCAGGAAGTGAGACTGCATCCCTGTCCCTCATGGCCACACAGTGAGAAGTTAGAGCCCATTGTTCTGAAGTAAACGTGTCCCAAAGTCTGAAACTCAATGTGTAACATTAAGAATTGTCTCTACAGAATTGTTTTAATGAAAAATATTATGATTTTATGTGTGTACAGCTGTTCAAATCTGTGTTTATTAGTAATGTACTGGCTAGCATTTTTGAGTTATGCTCAAAATTAGCTAATCGTCTTTAGTAATGATGCTCTTTAAATGTGCCTGAACTCATGACATTAGCAAACAGCACTGCATGAAGTTCTGCTAAAATTTCACTGAGTCAAAAGTAACTATACCCTCTCTGTGTCCTCCGGGCCTCCGTGTTGTTTTCCAAAGGGGTTATAGTGCTCTCCACAGCTGTGGGAGAGAGAGAGAGAGAGAAAGAGAGAGAGAGAGAGAGAGAGAGAGAGAGAGAGAGAGAGAGAGAGAGAGAGAGAGAGAGAGAGAGAGACAAAAAGGACAGAAGGGGACTTGTGTCTTTCTTGCATACATTCTAAAGGCCACTGAGATAATCAGCACAGTTCCAGTTTCCCATCAATGTTCTCAGTCATGCGTGGTCCACATGATGGAATGTTTGCATTCACATGACTTTAGAGAGAGTAACTGTGTCAGATTCTCAGTCATGGCTGAAGAACATGTCGTGCTAATACACTATTTCTAACAAGGGTATTCAAGGACTTCAAATGTATGTATGATTTCCACATGAAAAAAATATCAACATCAACACAAACTTGTTCTTCTCTTACAAACATCAGTCAGTTCAATGGCTAATTATCAAACCCTCAAGACTAGATAACTAAACATAGACTAGATAACTAAACATCAACAGTAAGTGATGACAAGGTAGGACACTTTATCCAATAGTCCTCAGCACTGATGGTTCACTTCTCATTCTCAGTCTAAGATAAAAGCAGTTATTCTACCTCATGCAGTCCTGTGTGAGATCTCCGAGTTCATGTACATGCAGCCCATGTGCTCCGGGCTCCAACCCGTCAATTGTCCCGTCAATCAAACAGCGATCCTTTGACAGCTGCAGGAATCGAACCACACCCTGCACTCGCCCCACCCCACTCAGCATCGCCACAGCAGCGCCCAGATCTGACATGCACACACAGAATACAGTGAGCTTGGTGCCTTGTTCTAACTTCAGGAACAGGAATTTAATTAACAGAACTCTCACCTCAAATGTACTTGATCTGCCAACTAGGCCAGCCACAATCATGAAATTTTTACTGGCAATTAATTGCCATTAAAATAATTGCAATTGCCCAGCTGCCCACTATGTGTCTCAATAAAGGCATTTCATTTACAAGTATTTACTTACTTTGTTTCATTTACATGCATTTGCCTCAACTCCAATGATGAAAACATACCCAGTTCACATAGTTTGCTGCGATGTAAACACATGACAATAAAAGCTAACATACACCGATCAGGCATAACATTATGATCCTTGTTTCTATGCTCATTGTCCATTTTATCAGCTCCACTTACTGTATAGGTGCACTTTGTAGTTCTACAATTACAGACTGTAGTCCATCTGTTTCTCTGCATTTGTGACCCCCATGGACCCTCACAGAGCAGGTACTATTTGGGTGGTGGATCATTCTCAGCACTGTAGTAACACTGATGTGGTGGTGGTGTGTTAGTGTGTGTTGTGCTGGTACGAGTGGATCAGACACAGCAGTGCTGCTGGAGTTTTTAAACACCTCAGTGTCACTGCTGGACTGAGAATAGTCCACCAACCAAAAATATCCAGCCAACAGCTTCCTGTGGGCAGCGTCCTGTGACCACTGATGAAGTACTAGAGGATGACCAACACAACCTGTGCAGCAGCAGATGAGCTATCCTCTCTGACTTTACAAGGTGGACTGACAAGGTAGGAGTGTCTAATAGAGTGGACAGTGAGTGGACACAGTGTTTAAAAACTCCAGCAGCACTGCTGTGTCTGATCCACTCGTACCAGCACAACACACACTAACACACCACCACCACCACGTCAGTGTTACTGCAGTGCTGAGAATGATCCACCACCCAAATAGTACCTGCTCTGTGAGGGTCCATGGGGGTCCTGACCACTGAAGAACAGGGTAAAAGGGGGCTAACAAAGTATGCAGAGAAACAGATGGACTACAGTCTGTAATTGTAGAACTACAAAGTGCATCTATATAGTAAGTGGAGCTGATAAAATGCACAATGAGTGTAGAAACAAGGAGGTGGTCATAATGTTGTGCATGATCAGTGTATGTGGAAAACAATCATCATCAAGCAATTTTGTGACCAGCCTGCTGCCAAGACTGTCCTTTAGTTTTACACTGAAGCTATGAAGCTAAAGTAGCTTACAAGTAATGAAAGCTTACAGCTTCATAAACTGCACAGAGCTGTCTGAGTTGTTAAGTAATCTCAATAATCTTGCTGATGTAGTTTCTGATACTGTATGATATTCTGTTATCTATAAAAGTGGACAAAAGTATAAATCAGTAGCAGCCATACTGAAGTCTGATTTTTTTGTCACTTGTTAGCTAAATCAGCCTCATAACTCCAGTGCAAAACTAAAGAAGGACACTTAAAAAACATTAACATGTCTTAGCTGATCTACTACATTTGGAGTAATGGGGACAATGGCGTAAATGAGGTTTCTAGGTAAACAGAGATGGACCTGGTTCTGATCCGCCCATTCCCTTCAGTACGGCTCTCCTGCCTGTGCTCTCTATCAGCCCTTGAACCTCCTGAGTGCTCAGAGACGTCTCCACCAGGACCTCCTCCCGAGACAGGTCAATCTGTACCGAATGCACTCCTGTAAACACAGACAAACACACACATACACTAACATTCAAAACAGCGAAAGCACCTCACTGTGTATACAATAATAACTTGTAGATTTACATATTATTAGTCACATATTAAAATATATTTTTAAATGACGTATTAAATATTTAAAGTATTCTGGGGAAAAAAATATAAGATATTATATGATTATAAAAACACTGTAATAATATATACAAGACTGTGCAACTGTCAGAGACCATCATTCATTTATTTAACTTCTAGTCAGAAGAACCATTAAGTTATAAATTTTTCAGTGTCAGGAAAAAAGCAGAAAAACTATATTTAACAAAAAAATGAAATAAGATGGCTCAGTAATTATAAATACTATAAATATTATAAATACAGGGTGATTCAAAAGATTCATCCGATTTCAAAGCGCTATATTTTTTACAACCATGAGGCGCCTAGGAACCAATCACATATCAATTGAATGCTCAATCGAGTATGGGATGAATTTGACTATGGCGTTGATGTTGTCTGTACAGCTGGAGGAGGTCATAATGAGCACTTGTAAAATTACATAATAAACTTTATGCTCACTTAAACCATTTACAATTTACTGCATTGTTCTGTAATGATTTACAAGTGAAAAAATCATTTTGAAATCAGAATAATCCTTCTGAATCACCCTGTATTATATTTTTCAGTATTTATTTTTTCCACTCTTTAACTTTATCACAGTTCTAATTTTTTCAACAAAATCTGCAGGGATATTTTTCCACACTTCCAAAGTTCAGTCTTAGAGGTTTGTTGCATTTTCTGCTTCTCACAGTCCAAACAATCCCAAACACATTCAGTGATGTTGAGGTCTGGACTCTGGGGTGGTCAGTCCATTGATCTGAGAACACCAGCAGCTTCTTTGTTTGATTTGCAAATTTTCTTCTTTTTGGTTCTCAGGCTTCTTGACAGCTACACATCCTTTCAGACTCATAATGCTTGTACTGATGACTTTTCTTGCAGTAGAAACATGAGTGGAGCTTGATTTTCTCCTTTCTCTCTAAGATGAAAGCCTCAAGTACTGTTTATCTGATGCTGACCGTCTTGGTGGTCTACCAGGTCATGTGCGGTTGTGAGGAGTCCCATTCTCTCTATATTTTAAAATTTATTTTAGTATTGGAAACTCCTGTTTTTTTTTTGCTTTTCATTTTCTCCTTCTTTACACATGCGTATTTTCTTATATCTTATCTCTTCAGAAACACCTCTTGGAAAATGAGTAACACAATAGCTGTTTTAAATGGAAATTAAATAAATAAAGGATAGCCTCCAGACTTCTGCAAAGTAGTGTACAATAAAATGTTTGTCACCTTATATGCCTTAAGATTTTTCCAGCACTTTTGAACTATGACAGAGGATGATCGTCTTATTACAACTTAACTTTTCATGTTGTACTCCTCACTCAGTCATTTTAGAATCGTCCACAGTTCTGTTCATCATTCTTTAAACATCCATAACTTCTTTCTTTTTTAATCCCTACTAATTATTCAAAACCTATACATTGTACAGCTCGAATATTACACTCATTTTATCAATTTATTTATTGTCAAACTTTTTATTACCATTATAATAATACTTATTATTATTATTATTATTATTATTATTTAAAAGATTTACACCAAACTGTTGAACACCGGTGTGTTATTACATTTGTAAAGCACAGGCATTCGCACAAATGTAAGTGTTTCCAAATCTGTCTAATACATAGCCTAAACCCACAATGACCCAAATACTAATTCTAACACTTGATTCATTCAAGCACTTATTTGGAGCTGTGACTGTGAACATTTGTGACTTGTTTTTGTGCTCATTTGCATATTGCAGGCTTTAGTATTACAAAGGCCAATATTGGCAAATCATACACAAGTTCCAAACAGAAAGCACACAAAAAGAGAGACAATCACTGAATCCCACACGGCTATTTAATTACACTATATTGGTCATGAAATACTGGCCCCTGCACCCAAACCATGTCTGTCATTTGGGGTTCAGTCAGATTCCAACTGGACATATATTCACTGTTTAGGTGTAGAAACCATTGTTTTATGACTTACATAGTGCACTATACAGAGAACAGGGATCCATCTGTTTCCATCCATGTTTCACCCAGCCAGACCTAGCTTTAGTGAACACTCTGCTTACCGGGCTGTTTCTCCAGTGCCCCTTTCACTGCATTAACACAGCTTTCACATGTCATCTGCACCGCAAACTCAAGCTGTGAGGGTGAAAGAATGAGGATAGATTATCAGCAACTGTCCCGCCAGATAGCCGCACTGTGTATTACCAGGTCTGATGTATATGCATGTTGATGACGCACAGCTGGACGTGCCAAAGTAAAGAATATTATCGGTTGAACCAGAGACCAAAACTTATATTCTTGCATGCCAACATGGTGAGGATATATGACGATATCAGAATCCTATCAATATTGGAAGATATTTGTTTAAAAAAACTGTCATGAACAGATGTTTAGATTTAACTGATATTTCAAACTGATATTTGATGATATATTTATTGTACTCCAGAAGAGCAGACTGTTTAGGTGATGCTGAACTGCTGTGTTAAAACATGCATTTTATTCATTTAACCCTGCAGAAAAATTATATTTCTTTGTAATGCTAATCTACGTGGATCCAGTACCAATTTCTGCTTTTTATAAATGAAGGGTTTTGTAATAAAATGTGTTAAATGCCACTTTGAAGATTTTTCTTTCTTTTTTTCCATGATATACATTGCTGGGAGCAGGATTTACATATACAACAAACCTCAATGCTAGACTAAGATTAATACCACCTTTACTGGAGAGTCTAAAATACGTTTCTGTTCAAACCTCTCCTCCCCTTACAGAAGAGTAACTTGCATTTCACATGTTCACAAGTAAACACGTGAAAATGTGAACAGTATGCCATCACGTGACAATGTGAATAACGCAATCACATGTGACAGTGAATAATGCGATCACATCTGACAATGTTATTCAGTTACATTCAGAGGCATCAGAATGTAACTGAATAATATGATCACGTGACATATGAATGCTACCACATGTGACGTGAATAATGTGATCACATGTGACATAATATGAATGCCATCACGTGACACAATGTGAATGTGATCACATCTGATATATGAAAGCTATCACGACATAATGTAAATGTGATCAAATGTGACACAATATGAATGCAGTCACATGACATGAATACATGATCACATGTGACAATGTGAATGTGAACACACGTAAAATAATGTAAATACGTGATCACATGTGACGTGATCACGTGACATTGTGCATAATATGCGCTCACATGTAACAATGTAAATGTGATCACATAGGACATATGAATGCCATCACATGTGACACAATGTGAATAATGTGATCACCTTGACATATGAAAGCTATCACATGACGTGAATGTGATCAAATGTGACACAATATGAATGCAGTCACATGACGTGAATACATGATCACGTGACAATGTGAACGTGATCTCGTAACATAACGTAAATATATGTGATCACGTGACATTGTGCATAATATGCGATCACATGTAACATAATGCAAATGTGATCACACATGACATAATATGAATATGTGATCACATGTGACATAATATGAACATGTGATCGTTCACATTATATCTGAGGTGTCAGAATGTTACCGCTGCACCATTTAAGGTGGAACGGGAAAATTAGAACAAGAAGCGGGGGAACAGGACGCCGATGTCGACGTTGTAGACTAAACTAACTCGCAGCTAATTCAACAAGAGCTCAAAGTCCGGGCTGTGACGCTGCTGCTGTTCTGAAAAGAGTCTCCACAACGTAACGTTAACGTCTTAATCTGATCCGCCTTTTACTGAAAGCCCCGCATTTACACAGCACATTAACCACATCTCTGTTCAACTGACACAGAGAAAGAAAACTCACTTTAGCCGCTCGATCCGTTTCCATCTTTACTGACACACCTGAGGGACACGCTCAGCGCCGTGAAGCAAAGCGCAGCCTGTTTCAAAACAACGCAAACTTTTCGGCTTTCAAAATAAGAGTCTCCACCTAAGAAAGGACCAACTTGCGTCAAAAAAATAATATGAATTTTTTTATATAACAATAATATTACAGATTTTCATTTATTTTAATGTAACAATTACGTATACTAAGAGGGAAGAAGGAATATTTCTGATCATATTTCTTTCTCAGTTCCATTATAGCTTTACTTTCAAATTCTCTTCTTTGTTTCATTTCTGTTCTGCTTTGCTGTTGCTAACAAGCTTCAGCTCGTTTTCATTTTTGAACAACTTCACTTCCGAGCTTTAGCATTTCATTTTAGACCAAAAGAATAAAAAAAAAGAGATGAAGAACACCCACCAATCTTCAGTTTCTATGCTGCTCATAGATGCTGATGGCACTAACAAGTTCTGTACAATGTTTTGAATCTGCTATTTTTGAAACTTTCTAACAAAAGTTTTTTGGTAGCTACTTTTTCTTCTGCTTGAGTCATTCATTCATTTCAGTGACATAACAACACTTTTAATGGAGGATGGTTTTTGGCTCCTTTTGCCACTTCTGCGTTTTACACAAGGGAAATCTCAACCTCAAAACTTTTATTTTAGTTTATTTTATTATAATTATTATTATTAAAATAATCAGATGCACATAAAACATATATACAATAAAAAAGGGCACATTTTTACAGTTTGCACATTTTCACAATTTTACAGTCATGGTGAGTTACTGGCTCAGTTCTTCAGAGGGCTCAGTTGTTAACAGTGAAGGGAAAGGCAGCCCTTTCTCCTGAGCGTGGCGTCCCCACCGCTCATCATCAGACTCGTGAGTGATGTATCGGCGGCCCATTCGCTGCTCAAACTGACGCAGATCACACCACAACTGGAAGTTCTGGAGAGACAAATAAAGGAGGAGTACATGAAATAGTGGTAAGAATTGAAGTAGCCTCGATTTCCAGGTAATAGCCTTGCTTTGACCTTCTAAACTGGAATTAGTCTATTTTATGTCTATTTTTTACATATTGGAACAAATATAAAACACAGAATATAAACTTTTGCACAGGCCACATTAAACTTGCACAGGCGACATTTTTATGTTCCCCCCTCATATGTTAAATTCAGCAAATAAACAGGAATTGTACATTAAAAGTGTGTTCTCTGTAGAGGATGTTCACTTATTTTCAACAAAAAATGTCATTTGATCAGACACCCCAAACTTTTTCATACAAATGTAGTTTATCTAATCAGTCCTTCACTAAATTAAATCAGGTGCTGCTGATGGGATTTAACCATCCAGTGATGGCTGGACTGCAGTGTGAAGTCAGGAACCAAACCTGTGTTCTTCTAACTGTATCCTTTTTTTTTGCCATTTTTCCTATTTTTTCCCCCTAATTTAGTCACGTCCAGTTCCAGCCATTAGCCTTGCCCCACCCAAATCAGACAATACTACCAGCACTGGGACAGTGAAGGCTTGCACGTTTCCTCTGAGGAAAACGGCTGGAAAAACACACTTACTGCTGAGATCCTTTTTTTTCTGGGGTGTGTAAGACTTTTCATAGTACTGAATGTTCAGCGTTGATGCACCAAAACTTCGCAGAGCTCAACACAGCTGGACTGGAAACTAGGATTACACTAGCTGCAAAATTACCTGGAGCCAGGGATGTCCCATAGCTTTACCCACGCTGTACCTGCGCCGGACCACCACCTGCAGCAGGTTATTAATCAGACTCACAGCTGAGAGAGAGAGAGAGAGAGAGAGGAGAGAGAGAGAGAGAGAGAGAGAGAGAGAGAGAACGAGAGAGAGAGAGGATGAGAGAGAAAAATGGGAAGGAATTAAAAATACTGCAATAGATTATTGAGGCAATAGGCTAACGAACTTTTTGTCTGCTCTATGATTAGATAAAAAAAAGAAACAGAAATCCCATTCCCATGACAGTATGTCACAATTTCAAACCACATAATAAAGTCCATTCGAGATTACTTAATGTGGTCTGAGGCAAGTGTGAGTTTTTTTACTCAATGCTAATTGTCAGAGTATAATTAGTTACATCAGTCTTGTATCTTCAACAAACATTAAATGTCTTAGCCTAACAGCTGCATTTGGGGTTGTGAGAAAACATGTTTTTTACGGAACTATTGCTTTAAAATACCCATATCCCACAATTTTCTTTAATTTTATTTGTTCCCCAAATTCATCTCATGACATTTGTACCAAAACAGTCAGAATTAATTTCTACATCACCATTTTCCAACATCTTTATCCACTAGAACTAAACCGGTTGTTCTGTGTGTGTGTGTGTGTGTGTGTGTGTGTGTGTGTGTATATATATATATATATGTATATATATATATATATATATATATATATATATATATATATATATAGATATAGATATAGATATATAGATATATATTTCGCTTGAGGTTGTTTTATACATTTGCTGATTAACAGTAAAACCTCAATATCTTTTTCCTGTCGAATTTTAAAACCAAGGTTGTGCAAAGTAGCAGCCATAAAATATAATAAAACTAAATCAGTTTTCGCTTAATCCAGTCAATAAACGAATCAATCTAAATGAAAAACTACATTTTAACAGTGCAGTCTGTGCTGTGTTCATTCTGAAACTAAACTTTACAATGACAGATCTTCAGTGAAACGGAGTCAGCATCTCTCCGGGCTCCTGTGAGAGTCTCGCTCTCCTCTGAGAGCGGAGATTCACTCCCCGCTGCAGAGAAGACGCGCTCTGATAGAGAAGATGGGAAAGTGGCGAACGTTTGTGGCAAACTTGTCCCCTAAACCGTTAAAATTGAACGATTTTGAAACATTTCATTTCAACGGCAACCCTTCGTCCAGCTGCCCTATATGTTCGTGTAGAACTACCTCCTTAAACTGTTAGCGAGTGGAGCCAAACGTTCGCGAAGAACAGAAACCTGTCTGCCCCCGCAGTTTAGTAATCCGTACTCTCAGTTTATAAACCGTGCCCACGGATTAGTAAACTGTACTCTCGGTTAGCAAAACTGTACCGACGGATTTGTAAACTACTGTACTGAAACGACGCTCACACACGTGATTTCAACGTCGATAGTTCACTGGGCTGTAAATATCCAGCAATTCTTGCATAGTCGGGGTTCAGTGTTATTCCTTTGAACACGCGATGTGCTCTCCGGGCTGAGACTCCGTTCAGCCGTCGCTGGCCGCGTGGTGGGATAATACAGGCAAAAACGAGATTATTTTTGCCTCTTTTTTGAAGTGCATTCACATAATACATTTCTACAAAACACTCCAATTAAGCAGTGAGGCTAAACTGTAATTTAATGAAATGTTAAACTGTAATTTAATGAAATGGTAAAGCCGTTGAAAACGGTGTGTGTGAAAGCCACAGCACAATATCCTACCTACTCTCTAGTAATGTCTGCTTTATCACGTTAACGTTACTTGCTTATATCTATCTTTTCATCGTGAAAGGTCGACACAGTTGTGTCGTCCAATTTCCTGACCTGTTTCAGAAATGTCACAAAATTCTCCAGTTTCTCAAAATATCTCATAAATGTGGCCTGTACCGTAGCTGGGGGAGGCGGTGTGTGCTTGACACAGTTTACAAATCCGTCGGTACAGTTTTGCTAACCGAGAGTACCGTTTACTAATCCGTGAGCACGGTTTACAAACCGAGAGTACGGATTACTAAACTGCGGGGACAGATTTTTCTCCTCACTATTTTTTTCTCTTTAGTGACCCCTATCGGGCTCCGTAGGAAACGCTCTCCTATGTTCGCAGATTTGAACGCACCGGCGGCCTCGACGATGCAGTGTTTAAACCGTGAGCGTTATCTGGAAAGTGAACAGGGTCGCTGTGAAGAACAGTTACTTGCTCCTCTGTTCCAGCTCCATTAACGATACCAGAGAGCAGCATTTCTAAATAGAAGATGTTACAGCTCGGCTCACAGAATGAAGTAAGACGGAATTTAACATGAACATTAGCTAACTAGCTCGCTAGCACAGCATTCGCCGCGTCCCAAACCACACACTTATACACTTCACACACTAACTAATGAGTGCACTTCTAATGGTATATGCGCTGTTTTTACACACTATTTAGGTTGCTAGAATGCGGTTTGGGACGCGACGTATTTTACCGAGAGCCTTTTTATTCAGTGAGCTGACGAGTTTCCTCTTCAGATACTCCAAAAGTTTAAACACCCCTGGAAAAATAACATTTAGCTGATTTTCTAAATGAAAATGAAGACACATCCTCTACCAGGGACATATTTAAGTATGCCATTTTCTGCCTATTTTGGTGCACACTTTCTATTTATTTGATGAATATGTGCCATAACTTTGCCGTAACAGTTTTTTTTCTGTATATAAAATCCAGCAAATAAACATAATCATGCATTTAAATGTGCAGAACTGTGCTGTCCGTAGAGGATGTGTTAACTTATTTTCACTAAGAAATTCAACAAAACGTAATTTGACCAGGGGGTCACAAACATTTCTTATACGACTGTCTGCCCTTTAAGATCATTGCCAAACGTCAGTTTGTTAAAGCGCTGCACGCTCTCTCACCCTCCAGAGAAATGAACGACCACGGCTGACGAGGGAACATGAAGGCAGCGTTGGTGATCTGCTGATGAATGTCCTCGTCCTCGTTAAAGGGAAAGGTACCACTCAGGCTCACGTACAGGATCACCCCCACCGCCCACATGTCCAGAGAGCGGTTGTAGCCATGGTTACTGATGACCTCCGGAGCCAAATACGCAGGGGTGCCTACCACCGAGCGCCGGAAAGACTTCTCACCAATGATGCGGGCGAAACCGAAGTCACACAGCTTCACCTGAGACACAGAAAATATGGAATGGGTTAGACTTTCAGCTGGAGATTGTTGGCTCAGGTCCTGCACGTTTACAGTGGTCCCCAAAAGTATTTGGACAATTAACACTCAACACCTAAACTACTGGTCATTAATGACGTTCTTCAGGGTGCTTCATAAAATGCTTAACAAAATGACATTTGTTTTAGAGAAAA